TCAACCGCGAGGCGGTTAACTCAAAACATCATATATGCACGTATAGGTATTTATAGCCCAGTTAGTAGAAGGGCACTGCATCTCTAACGCAAAGGCCTTGGGTTCGAATCCGATTGAGGCGCCCTAGATTTTCTCCAGCGGGGTTTGATCTGAAATTGCGTTAAAGCTACGTTAAAATGAGTAACAACAACAACAACAACAACAACAACAAATCAGGTTGCAAAAACCTGATCTGTGATACTTGTAAAAAAAAATATTTTAAATAAAACACGTATCTGTTGTTTTAATCTATTTGATTCAATCATTTTATACTCTATATTCAAAGTCTTCAGTTAACCTGAATCCGACGGGATCAAGGCACGTCAACATTGCAAGTTCATTTCGTCGTGATACGTAGAACTACCGTCACTTAATTTAAGTTCTTTATGATATGATGTCCTTGTATTTAGTTTGAAAATTGTTAGAAATGGGAATACATATGCACGAACCTAAGTCAGTTTTTTTTTATGTTTAATTTTTTCATCCGTTTTAGTACCTCATGTTTATCATTCAATTTCAAATACAGCTAAATGGGAGAAGCAAGAATAAAAAATAAGAGAGTACTCCTAAAACCAGAGTGACTATTTGTGTGGCAACTAAGCGTGTAGAAGCTAACTTTCTAGGAAAGGACCAATTTATATGCAAAGAGTAGTTGACGTAAAACAAAAGACCCCTTTGTTTCCTGTTCAGGGAAAATTCTGCTTGGTATCGTTTCATAGTTTTTGTACTTTTGTTTTTCGTAATCTGTGCGCGGTAGACGAGGTACATGCCAATTTCACGCGCGTTTTGTCCAAATTCTAACAATTTCCCGATCTTTTACGCGAGGGAAATTATTAGGATTTGGACAAAACACAAGTGAAACTATTCCCTAGTTTCACGAGTATACAGTTTGATCGCATATTGAGTATACCGTTTGATCGTTTTTACACGATTTATAGTATCGATCGAGAACTCCACTCACTGAAACGTTTACAGCTTAAATTTTGGCTTAAGATCATAATTTTCAGAGTTTTTTTTTAACAACCCGATAGAATCCTTCTTAATGTGCTCTTCGTGTCTTCAGGTTATTAAATAATAAGTTAAAGCTAAACATTCGCGTCAAAACTAAGGAAAAATTTGTGACACATGATATTGTATTGTTTATTTCCTTTAATTTAATCAGATTTGAAATTAAGGATAAGACGGAACATGGGGTTATTCCTACTTTTCTTGCTTTTCTTTGTTTTATGTAAATCAAACCTGCAAATTAAGGCAACAGAAAACAAAACAGGATCAGATAACTCCCGACTAGTTCAATCGATAAAAACCGATATCGAAAAGCCGTTCGATAAATCGATAACTATTGATAATTCAAAACTAAACGTTGTCGATTTTATCGATCAATCGATAGAAATCCTTACTCGCAACCATCGCTGTTCTTTTAAATTTATCGATTTATCGATTTTATCGTTTTCATTAGGGACCGTTTATTGTTGACACTTGTATTAAAATGCAAAATACCGGTTCTTCCGAGAAAGCGTTTAAAAAACAAGCTGTGTTTTTGCCGATGCGTTTAATAAGGGGCTTACATCTGTTTTATCTGGGCGTCTTAAGACCTTCTCGCTCGCTCATTGCCCGGAATTGTAGTAAGCGCAAATAGGATCAACCAATCAAGCAAATGAGTTTCAAGAAATTCTTTTACTCAATAAACACAAAGGGTCGGTTATTTAAACGAAGTTTAAGTTAATCAGTGTTTAGGGCTGCATGAGCCGCGGTTTAGACGTTGTCTCGATAAACAACGGCTAAACGATGCTTCAAATACATTATTAAAACACGACTGAACCGTGTTCTTGCAAGTCAATGGCTAAACCGTGTCTCACGAGGAAACGCATTGTCTGTGGAGTTATTTCGTATGCACATTTCCAGATAGTGGTTGTGTCTCTGCAATATGGCTTCTAAACGAAGTCGCACAACAAATTTCCGAGTCTAAGAAAAACTTTTATTGGCGGAATTGGGTGGCGACTTTCCAGAAGTGGGAAGTAAAGACTATGGCAGTAAAACGTTGGCAAGAAGACAAAGGCATGGGAGGACATTTTAACTAAGTTTAACTCCCAAAATCTTAACGGTATCAAACGCGACCACAGTCAGCTTCAAGGATGCTGGAGGTGGCTGAAACTCCAGTTGAAAAAAGAACACGACTTACATCGTCGTGAAGCAAGAAAAACTGGTGGAGGAAAAGCTCCTGCCTCCCCAAGTGAAGTAATCAAATTATTAGTAATGTAATCCCAGCCTCAGTTAATCCACTAGAGCAGGAATTTGATGATGATGCAGGAGAAGAACTTGATTTAAGGTGGCACGAAGACGAGATGGAAGTTATTACATGCAAAGTGGGACCAAGTCTACTTGCTGTCGGTGAAGCTAGTAGCACGAAAGGAGCCGCAAAAGTCACAAAAAGGAGAATAGTCAGAACTACAATTATTATAATTTTTAATCGCTTCTAAATTTTTTTAATGATAATTCATCGCATAATTTACAGTTATTGATCATCAGATGACATTACATTGACAGGTGCAAACGCAGAAGACTAGATTCCTCTGAGGAGGAGGGCCCATTCTTGTCCACGGCGAGGGAAGAACACCAATTGAAAGTGAAGGTCCTTACGCTTAAAGAATGGAAGCTAATGCATCAATGTGATAAAACGGGAATTCGTTTGCCACCTGCATACGACCCTGACAAGGAAAATTCTTAAACCAAACTACAGCTCCTTGAACTTTTGTGAACTTTAAAATATTCATCTCATGATATATAACCATTATAAATTTCAAAACAAAAGAATTAAAAGATTATTAATAATTAATTGTGGTGACTGACTTTTTGTTTCCTATTTTGTTGTCAATGAATCGTACATGGAATTTAATCAAGCCATTAATCTTATTAAGCCAAGTATTGTGAAATAATGAGATCGCGTTTGGCATTCCCACTTTCGTCTGCTACAGCAACAACGTCAAATGGGACATCTTCGTTTTCAATGTCTTTATCAAAGTCTTGCTCTCGATGCATAAGGGCAAAATAATGCAACACTGCAGTAGCCAAAATTATGACGAGGGTATTCGCCAAGGCGGTGCGCAGTCCCAAGAGAAGACACGGAAAACGTCGCTTTAGCAGTCCAAAGCATCTCTCAATAACACACCTAGTACGCCTATGTGCAGTATTATAGCGCACTTCTCCTGTATTCTTTGGCTTGAGGATTGGTGTCATTAAATATGCTCTACCAGCGTATCCACTGTCACCCACAAGAATGCCATCAATAGCACCATCCCATAATTTGTCTGCGATCTTGCTGTTCTCAAAAATGCGTGAGTCGTGGGTCGATCCAGGCCAGCGAGCTACGATGTTGGTAATAAAGGCATCGCTATCACAAACGGCTTGGACGTTGATGGAGTAAAACTGCTTTCTGTTAACAAATGCCATGGCATTTTCTTTGTTTGGAAATATGATCCTGATGTGGGTACAATCGATGGCCCCGATCACACCTGGAAAGTGCACAACATCATAAAACTTTCTCTTTGTATCAGCCTGCTTTTTTGGGAATGACAGGAATTGCGCTCTTTGTTTCGCAATAGCCTTTAAAACTTTGTGAACTGCAGTACATGCAGCAAATGCACTAACACCAAATAAATCGCGAATAACCCTTTGAAAAGTTCCTGTCGCATAGAATCTCAAAGCAATAAGCACTTGCTGCATTGGTGTTAGCGGCAGTCCTCTGCTTCTTTGATGTTGAAGATCCTTCTCCAAAATTTTTACGAGGTAAATGACCCAATCCTTTCGAAGGCGAAAAGGGTTAAATCTATCCCTAAGGTGTCGAATACGTATATTTTGTCGATTGGCGTAGTTTCTGAACTGTCTGTAGCGCAGTGGTCCCTCCTTTTCAAAATGGCTGACCATGAAAATATCGTTAAACGGCGTTTAAACCTACCTTTGAGCAGGTCTAACTTACTATTGTTCTTTAGTCGGTGTTAAGACATTGTCTTAACACTGTTATGAAAAAAACAACGTTAAAATAATCGGTATTCGGGGTGGAAACATTGATTAGACGATGACTTTCATAAACGCTGTCTAAACGTGGTTTAAATAACCGGCCCAAACTCTAAACGGTTGCAGTCATAACGGTGTTAACTTGAATAGTTCCTAAGTAAAATGCAAGAAGAAGTTGTTACGTTTTGTTTCTCCGCTGAATCATGTTAAGTATAATACAGACCATGTTACGTATTTGTTCAATGTTTGCTTTGTGAAATAAATCTTGACTGAACTTATCCTACGAGAGTAATTGTTTGTTAGACTGGTTTTCGGGAAGTTCTGATGCCTCGCTGCCCTTAAATACGTGGAAACGTATTGCGCCGATAAATTTGATAAGTTCGATAAAATCCATGACAATAATTTAAAAATCGATAATTATCGATTATTCACAACGTATCCCTTTATCGATTTTTATCGATTTCCGATACAATTAACTAATTTTATCGATTTTATCAATTGTTATCGATTATCGGTTTTATCGATTGAACTAGTCAGGGATAACTACAACTCTGTAAGTTCATTTCTTGATACAATTCAATTTCTGCTGTTATATTTGGATGTTCCTCTGATAGGGCTTTTCTTTCTTTCATGTTTATCAAATCTGCAAATTAAGACAACAGAAAACAAAACAGGATCAGATAACTTCAAATCTGTCAGTTCATTTCTTAATACATTTGATTTCTGCTATTCCATTTGAATTTTCCTCTGAAATGGCTTTTCTTTCTTTCATATTTATCAAATCTGTAAATTTTCCTCTGAAACGGTTTTTCTTTCTTTCATGTTTATCAAATCTGCAAATTAAGGCAATAGACAACAAAACAGGATCAGATAACGTTAGTTCTGTAAGTTCAGTTTCTTAATACATTTAATTTCTGCTACCATGTTTGAATTTTCTTCTTATGTGACTTTCCTTAATCAATCTGCAAATTAAGGCAACAGAAAACAAAACAGGATCAGATAACGTAAGCTCTGTAAGTTTATTTCTTAATACATTTAATTTCTACTATTATATATTTGAATTTTCCTCTTATATGGCTTTTTTTTCTTTCATATTTATCAAATCTGCAAATTAAGGCAACAGAGAGAACAACAGAGGAAGAGGAAGAGGAAGAGGCGGAATGTTCACTAGATATGGAAGATGTACAGGTATAAATTGACATAGTAGTTTTCAAGAAAGCCAATAAGTGAGGCCCTATGCCTTAAAACATTTTACCTTCAGATCGGCAAGAATTCCGATGACTTTAAATGCGACACATTTGGCAAAAAAAAATCTTGAGAGCGTCTGTATTTTGTTTTGTTGTGCTAACAGTGTTAAGAGAAAAATATCACGGAACCCTAGGTTTTACTTGTCGGTAAACACTCTTGAAGGAACTGCGTGAATTCACCTGTCAATCATTTGAGTGCTTCATGCATCAAATATGCTTCATGCTTCACTCGCATTGTCTTATTTAGTTTAGCGTTTTTTTTTTGTTTTGTTTTGTTTTGTTTTGTTTTTTTTTTGACAAAATAACCGCCCATTTGAGTAGTTGGTGATTAAAAGATTATTTTAACTGTGAAGGATTATTTCATACAAAAATAAAAATGAAAAAAGGACCTTCTATCGCAGAAGCACTCCATATAGTCTTTATCTACAAGGAGACTATTGTAAACAGTCGACCCCTCACTGCAGTCAGTGATGACGCCAACAATTTCGAATCACTGACGCCGAACCCCTTCCTCATCGGACGGCAATCACCCTACATGCAGCCCACCTGGCCAATTTGAAAAGCGCGAAGTTAATAGCCGCAAGGAATGGAGAATAGCCCAGGCACTCGAGGACGCAAGGAGTACCTATCTTAAACCCGTCAATCCGTTCCTAATGGAACTCACATTGGTCCCTTGGTAGAGTTCTCAAGACATTTCCAGGAGATGATAGAAGAGTACGCATGGTAGACGTGAAAGACACCTAACGAAACTTTGATGCAGCCTACCGCAAAGTTGTACTTGGTGGAAAAATGTGCTTAGTAGAATGGACAATGCTGAACAGTGTTTTACTAAGGAAGTTTGTAGTGTAGGAAACGTTTTACTTTAATGCTTGTAACTTAGCTTATCGTTCGTCTTATGGTCTTTCTGGGGAGGGAGGGAGGATCAAGTGGAGCGGCCGCTGGCTATGTTGTTATTCGCAGTAAATTATAAGATTTCCGTGATTACCCGCGGGGGTGACTCGGGAATACGAGGTCAGAAAGAATTAAAAAGTTGTTGTTGTGTTACAATAGTCTTGACGACGAATTTGCTAAGTGGACTAACCACAGGCGGGGGTAATAATTGGTACAAACAATGGACTAGGTCATTTTCCTAGCCACACCCTCTTTAAGATTTCAAGCCACATAATGCCGATTTTCCACTCGAAAAGATGCGAGTTTACTCCGTTTACTTGATTTTTGTTTCAGATTATAAAAAGACAACTAAAACAACGTGGTGACCTCGTTATGGATATCGGGAACGAGAATGATCCTGAATTAAGGCTCGAACAAATATTGGAAAAAGTGGAGGTCGTGCTTCTTTGCTGTTCCATCGGAGCAATAACTATTTACTATATCGTACTACTAGTCCTAAGGTTAGCTGTTGTGTTGCTTTTAAGGAAAAACCAAAAGAAAAAAATCCCTATGTCAGTGCCTCATCATATCGAAAGGTTCGTCCTTAGGTTTATGGAAAACCGTTTACTTGATCTAAAATATTAATAATTTGTTTCAGAGTGAAAATCACAGACAAGATTTTTGTGCACGTAAATATGTTACTTTCGCTGGGCCTTGGACGCCTGGTGTTCGTATTGGATTTAACAGTGTTTCCCAACAAAGCAGAACATCCAGTAAGTAGTTTATTTATCGTCTTCAAACCCATACTAGGCCTTTTTGTATGGTCAGTGACAGGTGGAGGGCCGCGAGGGGGGTTAACATTCTTTGAGAACTGCATAATTAATTAGATAACAAAAGCCGAATCCATTTTTGTCATTCAATAAAAACATTCTTACCTTAAGGTGGCTCGACTGGATTTTTTGGGGTTGATACCTCCCAAGTTTGAACCTTAACTACGTCGGCGTGAGTAAAGATATGGAAAAAAGGTTACCAAAACTGTATTGTATAAAGATGAAAATTTCTTGTGATCTGGGTTTTATTGCAATCGGAGTCGCCATGGCAACGTAATGACGCCATTACGTTTTTCATTTATCGTTGTGTTTCTCTGTACCAGGAGTTTTTTGAAGAAATCGCTTAAGGGAGTATGTACCTGCCATAATTGCCTCCATTATGGCAAAGTTTGAAGAAATTCCATGAGAGCGTTTTCGAGATATTTCGAAATGCAGTTTTAAGAATCATCAAAGCAGTGAAATAGCATGCTATCCGCACAATTCGCTAATATTTTAAGAGAATGATAAGCAGTTTTCAATGTATGCAGTTTTCAATGGAATCAAACCACTATGAGATGAAGCCGCGTTCCCAAAGCTTATCATTTTCTTAAAATATTAGCGAATTGTGCGGATAGCATGCTATTTCACTGCTTTGATGATTCTTAAAACTGCATTTCAAAATATTTCGAAAACGCTCTCATGGAATTTCTTCAAACTTTGCCACAATGGAGGCAATTATGGCAGGTACATACTCCCTTAAGCGATTTCTTCAAAAAACTCCTGGTACAGAGAAACACAACGATAAATGAAAAACGTAATGGCGTCATTACGTTGCCATGGCGACTCCGATTGCAATAAAACCCAGATCATAAGAAATTTTCATCTTTATGTAATACAGTTGTGGTAACCTTTTTTTCCATATCTTTACTCGTGCCGACGTAGTTAAGGCTCAAACTTGGGAGGTATCCCCCTAAAAAAATCCAGTCGAGCCACATTAAAAACAGCTAAAATTTCGAGAGACAAACAAACAAAAAAAAAACATTCTTACATCGATTGATATTTAGTTCTCTTCATTTGCCTGGTCCTCTTCAAATTCAGGATGTCAACGGATTTTTAGCCTTCAAATAGCAGTTGCCGTACGTCTAGTTCTATTTTTGCTGTTTTTGCTGTTTTAAGAGCCATTTTCTGAGAAAATCGAGAATCGCAAGACACTCGTCAAAAAATCGAATTTTTTATTATTTTGCCAAAACATCCCTTTTATTGACCTAATTTAAGGAACAATAGATTTGGGTTCAAACGATTCATTTTAAAGGAGAAATTTAAAAAAGTTTGAAAAATCGATTTTATTCCTGTTTTTCGAACAAAACACGGTAGGATGCAATGGCAACTTCGAGAGAAGGGTGAACGCGTAAGAAACATTCCCTGACACTGAAACTTCACCGAATTATTATTTTGTTCTTACTCTTGAAAACCTTAAAAGAAAATTTGAAAAACAATGTCTTATATTTTTATAATCGACAAGTCTAAAGAGGTCATATTTGTGACGTTAGACGTGCTAGAAAACGAAGGCCAACTTTGACTATTAAAAAAGGCCTCTGGTATATGCCGCTTGATCATAAAATCAACATAAAATGGAACCTTGGCTTTTGTACTAACTTACTGGAAAGTTTTAGCTCCGGAAATCAAATACCATCCTGACACCAAAGCAAGCGGTGAGAGCAATTGAATTGCGAATTTTATGCAAATTAGACGGCTTGCGGACGGTTGTCAAACTAAAAGAAAGGTTTTACATGAAAGAATTACTCACCATTGCTTGTAACACGTTTTTACGGTAAGGAAAGTTATTTCCAACTTCTTTTGCGTCGGTTTGAGTCACAAAATCCATAATTTTAAGCCAAAAGGTCCAAAAGACAAACGTACGTTTGCTCAGCGACTGCGCCAGAATCCGGCCGTGAATCGAAATAAAGTCACAACACGTCACTGCGGTCCTTTAGAAGCAAGAGTTTTTACTTCAGTCAGGAGGCCAAAAGATTGAAAATTCATCGCAAACTAATGACTTCGATTTTGAAAACCTTTCATCACTTCAATCGTTCGTCGGCTGATAATAAACATGGCACAAGATCGTATGACCTTTGGCGTGTGACCGGAAATCGGTCACATGCTTAAGTCACGTTAGCATACTGTCACGAATTTTCATACGATTTTTCACGTTTGCTTTCGACAAAAAATAGACTCATCGAAATAAAATCAGGCCTGCTTTATTTGTTTTTTTTTTTTAAATTTCTTTTATAGCCTGTAGAACTTGCATCGCGCGTGTCTCGCGCCCCCAGTCCGCTTCGCAGTGCTAGCGTGAAAAGAGAAAAAAACTGAAATTGACTCCTGTTCTGCAGTTGATTTCTTTTATTGACACCTTCTAGGCATTGACAGGCTGTGAAAAAAGTGTATTTTTTTATTACTATTTTTTGAAGTGCTACATCATTTTCCTACAAATTTCAAACGTGACTGCTAAAAGACTGTTTGGAACCCATGGATGGAGAAAAGCTGTGCCGGAGAGAAGGTCAACCTCCCAGCCGAGCCAACTTTTGCGAGCGTTTATATGAGGAAAAAACTGACTACTTTGTCCGAGTCAACAGTGCTTGCACATGCTGTCTTTGTCTAGCCTTGACCGTGTTGTCCCAGTTAGCTGGGCGAGCCAAAGTGGAGAAATATTGGCCGGGCTAGAAGGGTGAGGCCACCACTACCGGCTCAGTGGAGGGCTGACTTCCGGAAGCCCTCAACCCCGCCCACTACTGGTAGTAAGGCGTCTATCCGAACCAACCTTTTGTTTCTCATGTAAATTGTTTACCAAGTTTTGTAAGGAAATGGAGGAAAAGTTGGCTCGCCCAGGGTAGCTTGGGAGGTGAGTAAACACCAGATGACCCGAATAATAAGCACAAACTTTGATTCTCAGTTAGATGTCCACTATTTTAAGTAAGCGACCTGGCATGTGATTCTCGCATCCATGCCCCCTTCCAGATCCCCTTTATTATCGGTAAGCCTCTGATAGGTCAAAGTAATACAGTCGTACCTCCAGTAAGCGACCACCAAAAATACAAAGACTTAATGGTCTCTAACGGGAGGTGGCCGTTTAGAAGAATCGGACCACATGGGGTCTATTCCGAGAAGAGGTCAAGGCACATTCTATTAAATGGCAGTGTAACAAATTCCTGGCAAAATATTATCTTTTACCTCTTTTGACAAATACAGCTTTTAAATCATGCTCAATTTAAAGAGGGATTCAGGCGAGTGAAATATAGAATAGTCTAGAATCACAACAGAATCTTCACTTTGTTGGCTACATCTACTAAGTTAGGATATGTGTAGTTCCAAGATGTCACTAAAGGTCTTCATATTTTCCAAGGAACATAGTGCACACAGCAAAAATAGAGAGCAGAGAATGCGTCAACTAGTCGCTTATGGAAAACAATTAACCGTGACGCCCAAAAAGTGGTCGCAGTCACTTACAGAAGGTGGTCGTTTACTGGAGGTTCCAACTATAAGGCTTTGACTGGAAAAATTTGGTCTTTTGGATTGGCGGTCGCTTATGGGAGGCGGTCGCACATGGAGGTTCGACTGTGTTAGGTCTATTAGAGTATAAGCCACCATCACCTCACTGTGAGTGACGAGAGCCAGGAAAGTATAGTATACACTCCCTTAGGATACACAGAATCGTTGTTTTGAGGTCCCGTTTAGCGAAATGGATCATTCAAGGGAGGTGCTGAAGTCCCATAGTGAAATTTATAAGGTTTATGGGTTTTTAGTGCAAGGCGAAACACAATACTTAGGGCCCTGTTGTTCAAACGTTGAACAACAGGAAATCACTATCAAGCGAATAAGAAGAAGCAATTGCGTTACTTATTGGATATAGATTTATCCAGGGGAAAGCGTTAGTCCCGGGGGCGTTAGTCAACTTTTCGAACATACAGCCCCTAAGTCACTCTCCTCCGCAGACTTACCCTGGGCGACCAGGATAGGGGAATATAATACTCGACCTTCCTTGCATCATCGCGAGAGCCTATAGCCTTCATTTTCTTTTGGCTCGTCCTATAATCCTACCCAACGTTCGTGGGACAGGAAAGTCTGCGTGCGAGGCTTGGGAATCTAGGGAGACTATGGTAGCATGGTGCAAATAGCCGGGATGAGCTACTTTGTCCACACGAACCAAGAGGATTGGGTCTGCTAGAAGAAATCAGGTGTAGCTTTCTGTGATAAGTAATATTCCAACAGTATAGGATCATAGTTTGAAGCCATTTCACATTCACTAGTTTCCGCGTACCTCTACCGGCGAGTTGTGGACAAAAGCAGCTGATAGCTGTATGCGAACCTTTTTTCCACAAAATGGTTTCTGGGTTTTCGTATTCGACAGTGTCATGTATTGATTTTTTTAAATCTTAATCGAGGTCTTTTTTATTATGTACTGTCTATCTGACTGACTGTTTCTTTGTGTTTTTTTTCTGGTAATAACAGGTTTCATAATTTGGTCGTGGTTGGGGTTATAGGCTCCTAATCGTGAGCAAATAGCGAAAAAATCAACAAGCAAAACCAAAGTGAACTATAGCGTTGAATCCGTTGGCCACGGAGAATTGGTATTATTCTGCAAGTTCTTTACTACAGCAAGAGAGTATACTCCCTTGACTATGGGACATTGGGCCGGGGGAACTTAGTATTTTGACCCGGCATAGGGGAGTAGGGGATGCGGAGGGGGTACTCTGGCCAGATTCCAAGTCACGGGGATGATCGAAGTATGTTTTTTTCTTGGTTTGAAAATATTTTGAACAAATTTTTTTTTTAGGTGTGGCTTTACTTAAGTATTCAAAATATTCGTTCTTTTTTGGTCTTAATTTTCGCTTCCACAGATCACTCACGACACTTGGAATCCGAGGTACCCCTCCTGTTTAGTACTTCGAAGGCAAAAAAGCTGTTTCAAAGCCTAGTAGGTAAATAAAAGAAAAATAAATATGCATGGCTTTTTCTACTGCGATGAGAGGATTTCTTGTCAAAAAATGTGAAAACTGTATTAAAATTGCTGATAACAGCTACGAAAATTTCGTGACAGCATGCTGACGTGACTAAATCGTGTCACCAATTTCCGGTCACACGCCAAAGGTCATACGATCTTGTGCGATGTTTATTATCAGCCGACGAACGATTGAAGTGATGAAAGGTTTTCAAAATCGAAGTCATTAGTTTGCGATGAATTTTTAGGGCCAAGTCGCACTAGAGGGCAATTTCAGATTTGGTCTGGACAAATCCGACTTGAAATCGGCCAGTGACAAAAAAATATTGTCCGGGAAGCTACAGTCGCACTTAAGAACAAAATCTGTGAACAAAACACAACACCATGCTGTGAGCGCCTTGTGATTCTCGGCTTTCTAAAACTGATCATGCTTTTCAGCTCACAGTTGAACTAAAAGCTTCTCCTCTTCTTTACTGCATCTGTCCTGATAGAGACTCTGCTACGTATCACCTGTCAAATCATTTCCGAATTAAAACACCCTCGCTATTGTTATCCAAAATTTGTCTCAATTTGGCCTGCTCCAGAGGTAGTCGACGGCATCTTTGAAGTTTGTCTGTCTGCGACCAAATTTTGTCCTTTGGTGAGCAAACCGGTCGCACTTGGTTTTTCATTGTGATGACAGATTTTTGACATAAACAAACAGTTTTGTCCTCTAGTGCGACTTGGCCCTTATTCCTTTTGCCTCCTGACTGAAGTAAAAACTCTTGCTTCACTCTTGCTTCGACGTGTTGTGACTTTATTTCGATTCACGGCCGGATTCGGACGCAGTTGCTGAGCAAACGTACGTTTGTCTTTTGGCTAAAAATTATATATTTTATGACTCAAAACGACGCAAAAGAAGTTGGAAATAGCTTTCCTTACCTTAAAAACGTGTTACAAGCAATGGTGAGTAATCCTTTCATGTAAAACCTTTCTTTTTAGTTTGACAACCGTCGCAAGCCGTCTAATTTGCATAAAATTCGCAATTCAATTGCTCTCACCGTTTGCTTTGGTGTCAGGATGATATTTGATTTCCGGAGCTAAAACTTTCCAGTAAGTTAGTACAAAAGCCAAGGTTCCATTTTATATTGATTTTATGATCAAGCGGCATATACCAGAGGCCTTTTTTAATAGTCAAAGTTGGCCTTCATTTTCTAGCACGTCTAACGTCACAAATATGACGTCTTTACACTTGTCGATTATAAAAATGTAAAGCATTGTTTATCAAATTTTCTTTTAGGATTTTCAAGAGTAAGAACAAAATAATAATTCGGTGAAGTTTCAATGTCAGGGAATGTTTCTTACGCGTTCACCCTTCTCTCGAAGTTGCCATTGCATCCTGCCGTGTTTTGTGCGAAAAACGAGCATAAAATCGATTTTTCAAACTTTTCCTAATTTCTCCTTTAAAATGAATCGTTTGAACCCAAAACTATTTTTCCTTAAATAAGGTCACTAAAAGGGATGTTTTGGCAAAATAAAAAAAAATTCGATTTTTTGACGAGTGTCGTGCGATTCTCGATTTTCTCAGATAATGGCTCTTAAGGCAGTAATGTGGCTACTGTTTCGACATTCTCTGCATGTAGCCTGGACAAAAATAACTGTGTCATCCTTTTAATATTCGATATGTCAGCTGCATTCAACACAGTCGATCATCACATAGTGTTACAAGACTCAGTCGGCGTTTTGGAATCAAAGGAAAGGCACTGACATGCATGGTTACAGTACAGTTGTATGTGGTCCCTGGTCCGGCCGGTTTTAGTTTGTGATGTAATTTTCGGGAAGAAAATGAGGTCTCAATACAAACGAAACTTTCCGAGACAATTTTTATTGATCCGTTTGCCTTCTTAAGCTCGATTCGAGGTTTTCCTGATGACTAGCGAGGGCGGGAAAATCAAGTTACCGCAAACGTAGGTGAATTTGTTTTGTGTTATTTGTGTCTTTTTTGCGGCGCCTTAAATTGTATATATTTTGAATTTAGGCACACGCAATTAAGTACGTTAAGAAAGTTAAATTTTGGTGTACACGTTGCGTACAAGAAATGTTCTTTCCACTTGCAAAAAAATTGGTAGACAGGTTGAATTTTAAGTTTTAAGTTTATTTCGATTGTTGATATTTGACATTAACCGTGTCAAATATCTGTGCATGTAACACTACACGACAAGAAGGCGATCGATAAAAACTGAACTTTGAACCAAAATAAGTGTTTATATCAAGCTACATTGTACTATAAAAGTCCGTGAGAATAAATCAGGGTATTATTTGTCTGAAACCTGTCCGCGATAAAGTTAAGAGCACGCGAGCGTTGGAGTGAGTGGAAGAGTGAATTTCCAATTGAGTTCAATATTAAACTGGGTCATAAAGCTTCGCTAGGGTATCAAATCATTTTCAATTGTTGCTTCCATCGTGTATAAAACGTTTTACTACCAAGGGAAAACAAACCTTGTCACACTTTCTAGAAAAACTCTCAATAACTAAAGCAATTTATCAATTAAGCAAATACAACAAAGCCTGGCTGAATACAAATTTAGCCTAAACACCGACTTCATTTACCCGTAGAGTTCCAGGAATTGCTTGAAATATTCTGAGAAACGTATCGCTTCGATTCACGGGACTTTTTTACCTTTACTTGCATCCATACTCTTCGCTTGCCAAAACGTGGCTTTCTACACCAAACAGGATTTCTCCCGGGCTTTAAGTTTTCCACATCACACTTTGTTTGTGTTCTGAACGTTCTTTTGTTTTCTCTCTGAATCGATTGACTACGAACGAAAGAGCCTCGAATCCGAGGGCCGTACTTGAAATCAAGGCAGATGCGGTGATATACATGCATCATACATACATAGACACACACATACACACATACATATTTACATCCAAAAACCTCAAATGAAGCTGGCTTCGGGCTCAGGCAACCCAGGCTGGTCACGTACGCGACCTGAATTAGTCTGCTGCGAAGCCACCAGGCTTCGCAGCAATTAAGATTCATGAATTAAAGTGAGGATCTTTCAACTTTGAGTCACATTTTAAGTAAAGCACTCTCTATAATTGCACTAAATGATATATCCGATCCGTCCGATTGGTTCCAGTAGGTCCAACAATTTGACAGCTTTATCCTCTTTTGGTTTTAACAAGCAAAACATTATTTTGCATCTGCCGCATGACGTACACTTTTCGGTCGGATTTCTCTGCCGTCGCTGATGGAAAGTTTTGCTTGAGGACGTAAACAAGCGACGACAAATCTCTCTAATTTTTGACTGAATTCATTTAAAATAGTGGCGATTTTGCTGCCGTCGCACAATAACTGCAAGACACACATTCGCACAGAAGCGAAAATAATTTCTTCCGATGAGACCAAACTTTAGCTTTTTACACAGAAATCTCATTTTGGTTTTGGAGTTTAAATAATGCCTATAAAAATATACAGGAATTTAGATGAGATGGTGCTTGGGACGTTGATTTTTGCGCAAAGTTTCCATGTCGGCTTACAAAGTGACCAAAGTGGCCGGACCAAGGAGGCGAACCACTAGCCTTACCAGGGGCCTTCCAACGGAGAAGTCACTTTCTATGAGGCAGGATTTTTGGCAAGCGCAGAAGCTCTCGGTTTGTCACAAGTTAGTAAAATGTTACGGCAACTTACGTGACAAAAATTAGCTCAACACTTATTTACGTCCTCTTCGTTCGGACCAAGGACCACATACTGTACGTCCTGTCTCGGACTTTGTAAGTGTTGGGAGTGAATGCTCGACCCGTTCGTATCTTCCTCCCGTATGGCGTTCGACAAGGATCCGTACGTTATCCTCCCTTGCATTTACTATACACTGTTTTTCCGAGTGATGTCCTCAAAAGTTATGATTTGTCGTATCATTTTTACGCCTACGACAGCAAATATACATGCCCTTTCACCGTCACTCGTGAACCTAAATACTCCAAATCTAAACGTGTATCCTTGACACCAGTAGTTGGATGAGAGCCAATAGGATCAAACCCAATAACGAAAAAAACTGATCTTTTGGTGTTGAACGCCTTTCATTGCCCCCCTCCTCAGCTAAGCTCCGTTTACGCAATCAGTGAATAAATTGTAGCTACTAACTCGGCTAAAAACATCGGCTTTTGGTTTGAGATCAATCTACAAGCATGTGAAATTTCTTTGCAAGACTCCTTTCTGCCAATTACGTAACTTGGCCACTATTAGAAGGTTCCAAAAGCACTGTGAAATCTCTTACATGCCTTTGTTACAGTGTACTTCCGCTAATCAATCAATCTATCTTTATTTGTACTCACTCTTGCTCAAAAGTGAATTACAACAATGAAAATATTAAAAGTATCTCTCTTTTATCTGGTCTATCTGGTCTCCTCAGCATCTGTTGCAAAACATGTTTAAAATACTGCAGCCAGTTCACTCACACGAACCCAAACAAATACGGCCACGTTCCCCACATTTCTTTCTTTTTCAGCAGATATCGAAAACGTCTTCCAAATTTGGTTCACCCTAGCTGGTTACAAAGAATTAGTCGGGGTATTTGAGCCAGTCAAAAACGAGAAATATTTTGGATGAGATGGTAACAAGTAAGGTTTAAATTTCTAAAATTCGGATATGTACACACTTTTTTATTGTCTTTTAGGTTCTCTGTTCGACTGTTGTGGTAACTCTTCATTTTCTGGAAACAGCTCTGTTTACCTGGATGTTTGTGGAAGGGATAAACCTCTACAACAAGTTGGTCAAGGTTTTTTCGATGCGAAAGCAATACTTAGCTTTCGCGGCAATAGGATGGGGTGCGTTACTTTTCTTGATACTTCTATTCCAGTCATTTTGTGGTTGGACCCGGAACTATAAATGCAACAGAAGCGTTCTCTTCGCTAATTACTTAATATTAGACTGATATATAGATTTAGCCAGGGCTAAAAGCGAAGCTCTCGATAATATTTATAGCTTGTTCAAACAAAATATAAAATCGTGTAATGCTTAGTGGCGAAGGCAATACCGGAGAATGGTGAAAAACAACAATAGGTCTAATTGGCACAAAAAGCAACTTTGTACGTGCAGCACACATTTTTTGTACATTTCTTTGCCTTTGTTTTGCACGACTACAACGTGAAACTTCCAGAAACTTCTTAGTAGTTACACGTTTTATGGAGGAAATGTCGTAGGTGTTCTCGTTCACATTTTTCTCCCTGCCGCTCATTTTCACCTTGCATTGGTGGCCGCTAATATTTCCCGTTTTGTGACCGCCGCTACAAAATTTTCATGTTGTTCTTCCAACAAAAAAATGTCTCCTTTGTTTTTTATCCCTCGCTCTAGACCTCTGTCGCCCTTTTTCTCGCTGATCTTCGCTGGCCTGCCGCCTACTTTCTCTTTTTTCTGTCTTTCTCCTGCTCTATATTCCAAATTTGTGAACATCACAATTAATCTAAACTAAATATTTTAGACAACACGGATACAGAAACAATTTCCGCTTTCCGTTTTCGTCTTTATCGACTCTTTAGTTGTCTCCGCTTTACAAGACGCCGGTGGCTATACGATTTCCCGCCAAAATAACCTCCAGTTGCACTTGGGTTGCCATACCTGTTGATTGAGTTATTTTACATTGGTATGCCCGTGGTGCGGACGGACGGTCACTCGGGCAGGCGGTCGGTCGGTCTGTGTATGGTCACGTGATTAACAGATTTTCTCGGATGGGTAGATTACTTCATTTTCTTACCCATGGTGCTCCGCTGGCGCGCTTCGCGCGCGAGAGCTCCGCTAGAAATAAACATACGAAAAGTCCCAAAAGATCCGAGCAAGGGAACATTGCACAACCGACATTTTTGGTCCCCTGGGACCTGGGACCTGATTTCTTCCTCCCTCCGTAGCTTCAACAGGATTTAGGCTACGACAGTAAAAATCAATGAGTCAATAGCAGACACAGAAGTGTGTAAATTCAAAATGGATTACGTGATAAATAGCATCATATAATTTGTTAATCACAGTATTTTTGGACCGCCGTCATCTTTGATCCGTCATATTAAATCCACCATCTTGAGTCAATGCAGGGGGGGCAAGGTAACTCTATTGCTTTCCACGTAAGTTCCTTGACCCACTCCGCCTGCCATTATGACGTCGTCACATGGTAACGGGCAAGAGCCTCGGGTCGCTTCTGCAAATTAGCAAGGGATACGACAGTTATTTGGACGAGCGAGGTCGAGGGAAATCAAAGAAGCTAGCAAATATCGCTATATATCGCTTATTTGGTGGAATGCGTGTGACCTTTTGTGTTGCTATAATCTGCTTGTGTAAACCGTTTTGATATTTGTGTCCGTGATTGTATAATTTTGTTAATTTGGTTTGCAGGCCGTGTTGCGGGATCGCCATCTATTTCACGGGACCGGCAAGGTCATCAAAACTTAAATGTTTTTTTCCTCTAAACTAGGCAAGATCTAGTCTCCAGAATAGGAGGTTTCATTCACAGATCACGCATGTTTGTATTTCATCTATTCTTCTGCTAATTAAATGGGCCTAACTTCATATCTTTCCTTTCGAGTTTGGGCTTCTGTTGATCTCCTAATTCTCCACCAAATTCAGCAAAGCCAAAATTAATGTTTCAAAGCATGTGTGTCACTGTGGTGCAGTGGCCAAGGAGTTGCTTGCGTGCAGATAAACCGGGTTCGACTCCCGGCGACACTGTTTTTTGTTTCTTTGTGCCGTTTTTTTTTTTAAACACTATTTTTCCTTTTGGCCTTTTTTCTTTATTCTTACTGCTGACCCTGCTGGTTATGCACTTGGATCAATAGATATTTTAAGCTTAGGTCCGGAGTTTTATTTTGGAAAAGGGATTTCAAAAGCTTTTGATCTGCATACTGGCCAAGCTTACGACCAGATACAAACCATAAGCTTTCAACTCCCTCCTCTGAAACAGCTGAATTTTTTTCAATGTTAGTTGACATCCTGACAAACAACACACAGTACACCACAAACTGTTCCAATTTACACCCAACACCCACCAGTGACCCACTGGCGAAAGTTAAACTTGCCTTTTGTACGTCATCTTAATCATCAATTACCCTAAGATCTCCACTGGGTTTGCCCCCCAAAATAATTAAACGAAACCTTTTTATGGTTTTCGGGATTTAATTACAGAATTACAGGTCTATGCCCAATACAGTGTTAAATTGCGGTAAAGCAACAAGATTCAATGCTCACAGCCTCTCACAAATACCTGTCATTTAGTTTCCTCTTTCAACGCTACAGCTAAGCGAACTTTGAGTGGAATGATATGGGGTTCCACTAGCTCTGAAGAGCTGAAAATACGCACAAAGTATAATACATCCTTTGATGAACCTCCTACTGCTGTGTCTAAACTCCTCAATCTTGCTGTGCACTCGGCCCTCAAAAGTGTGACCGGTCGGTATGATTGCCCGTAAAATTTGCTCGACGATAGAAAGGAATCTTTAAAATTCATTACGCCACTGGACATTTCATTCCAAAAAAGTACTAAGTGTAGTTTTCTATGACAATAGAAATCTTAAAATCTCCAAATCCAAGAAATCGGAACAGTATTTCCGTGATAAAATCGAAATTTTTATGTCCCTTCGATGAAAACTTTGCTCACCAGTTTGAAAGTCACTGACGCGAGAAGTGACGTCATATTGGCAGGCGGACTGTACCACAGATTTCCTTGGAGACACCCCCCCCGAGTCAATGTCATGAGTAAAAACGTTTCAAATCGCCTCACGTTTAAATAAAGTAACGGTCCTGAAAAGATATTAAACTGTATAAAACGATGGAAATATAATTTACACGGTCATTATACAGCTAACTTTGTTAAATCTAAACCTTCAAGTACTCTCCCTTGATATATACAGTCAAACCTCCACTATTGTCCACCTCTCTACAACGGCAACGGCCACTTAAACGCGTGTCCCCAACCGCCAAAATAACTTCTCGACATCGGCCAGTTTTTTTTTTTCAACGACAGATGAAAAAGTCAAGAATGGTCATGAAATTTGATCTGCATGGAACGTTTGAGATCAATCGGGGCAATCGTGTTTTCATTTTGTTTCATTTATACTGCTGCAGTAAGCATAAATAGTCTAAGATAAATGTAGCGAATGTTGCGAACTTTGCTCGTTTTGTCACGTCAACATTTTGATTCAAGACATAATTCAAGCTTTTTGTGTATATATTAAATATGATAGGATTACTATGATTACGGGATACAGTAAGCATGAGCTTAACACAAAAACTGACATGTTGTACTCCCTAAAAAATGTCATATAACACCCCCACCTTCCCATAACGGCCACCTCTCCACAACGGTCAATTTCTTCTCTCCCCGGCCAAGGTGGTTGTTTTGGAGAGGTTCGACTGAACACTCAAATTCCTTTAAGACCCATGCAGCACGCAATAACAACTTCAATGGATGCCCAAACATCCTAAAACAAGTAAACATGCTAATGAAATGAGAATGGAAAAATTACGCTGGAAAGGGAAAGTACATCTTGTTAACAGCTCTTGGCCACCATAAATGGAATGGATATGAAAGGTTTACACCCTGAAAAACCTTTAAGTTTCATTATCGTTGAACAGTTAACTTGTTTCTCATTTGTTTGTGTCGATTAATATTTCATAACCGTACATTGACTTAGTTTTAAGCACGCGTGATATCATCAGTACTCAGATTGCAAGTCAAACATTTAAGCCACTTACTTGCTCCCTTAGGTGGGGAGAGCTAACATATTTCTTCAAAGCTAAGGATTTGCGAAAACCGTAGCACGGAAAGAGGTAGTGTCACACCCAAAAGGACTTGAACATACAACATGCGACAAACACAAACATCCTAACTACTGCAATGGGCCCCATTATTAGGAAGAGATCAAAACGGATAATCGGGCCCCGCTTAATGGATCGAAGTTTGCGAACTTTGCTCGGGAACAGGGGTTCAGACACCGAAAGGTCACCCCTGGGTGGGCTGAAGCTAATGGTGACGTGGAGCGTTTCATGCAAACCCTCAAGAAGAGTGCGAGAATTTCTAAACTTGAAGGAAAAGCTATTCGGGATGGAGTGCAAAGAACGGTTGGCAACTATTGCGCCACGCCCCACCCAGCAACAAAGGAAAGCCCTGACATGCTCATGTTCGGTAGAGAGCTACGGAGGAAGCTACCGGAAAGGATCGTACCTGCAGGAGAAATTCCATACGACCCAATCAGACAAAGACCCAATCAGAGACGCGGCTAAAAAGAAGCAGATGAAAGAGTACGCAGACAAGAGACGGAACGCCCGGGAAAGCTTTATAGTGGTTGGAGACCAAGTTCTTTTGAAGCAGAGCAAAGCTGCTGTTCTGACCCTAGCATTTGACCCCCGACCCTTCTCAGTAATAGGCGTGAAAGGAAGTATGATCACCGTGAAAAGGGGTAGGGAGATTAAATCGCGTAATTCATCCCATTGTAAGTTGCTGAAGCACGCGTGGGAGGATGAGTACGTCGCTGTGGATTTGGACCAAGAAGGTTTGGATGCATCCCTCGCGGAAGAAACTGAAACCAGGGAAGATTTGCGTTTGCAACCCTACAACCTCGGTGTATCCAGTGAAATGACAATTGGCGGTCCACGTAACGAGCCTGATGGTCCACCGATATCCTTAGGAGGGACGGAAACCGCGCGACATCAACAGCAGCCAGACAATACTGCAGTATGCGGGCCAAGAAGATCAGCGCGAAAAAGAACGTCTACTCAGTTGGAACACTATTTACAGGGACTTTGAGCCACACTAGAAAAAAAGGGGCAGATGCAGTGTCGGGTCTCAAGGAACTTCATGTAGGATAATTATATGCAAAATGAGCGTTAACACTCTAGCAAAAGAGGGACTTGATTTACATATGGGACAGTGCTGAACGGACTAGTAGGAGGACTATTAACGGAACTAAAGGCGTATAATGTAACCGTTTATTGAGCCCCATTCGCGACTTTACAAGTATTTTCCCAGGTAGATAACCTATTAAAGCATAAAAACATTGCCTTAAGTTGATCGTTTTTAGCGATTATGTATCGTAAAAACACCTTCAACATAAGCGTTAAAGAAAGACTTTAAGTCTCGTTTCCATGCGGTAATAAACAAGGGCCTCAGAAAGGTCTCAAATGCTCTCAAGTTATCTCGTTTTTAAGCAACTCCCCCTGCTAGGACTCTATGGGACTTTTGATATGTTATTAAGGACAGTTTGATGAGTCTAAGACAGTTGGACTATCCTCTGTTGCAATTAGTTTCAGGTTAACCTACTATTTTCTACAAAATGAATGGAGTATTCAGATTTTTCTCAGAACATTTTAATCAATACAAAAAGTTGTTTTATCATTATTTTTATTATTATTATTTTCATTTTGCCTCATTTAAATTATATATATACACACAATTCAGAAAGTTGATTCAAGGGAGTCCATTGAAGCCAATAAAACTTAAGAAAAGGACCTCCTTTAAAAATATATGACTTACAGTGCGAGTACACGAACCGAGGCCACCTAGTTTTGAGACAAATTTTGAAAGTAGCCAATCACAAGTCGAGATTAAGACAATGAAATTGCGCATAATTTTACTCAGTTCAATACGATGCGAGCCATATTTCTAGAGGATATAAATAAGGATTTAGGAAGTTTGTAAAAATTAAGCTGAAAAATGTTTTGACAACGACTGGGTTAGCCAGAATCAAAGCCAGCAGTAAAGAAATTTTGAACAATCCGAACTAAAATCGATGGCCCCTTCTTTCGGATTGCTCAAAATTTCTTTACTGCTGGCTTTGATTCCGGCCAACCCAGACGTTGTCAAAACATTTTTCAGCTTGATTTATTATATACAACGTCACGATTCTTTATTTACGTTCTTTATAAAATGGTTCGCTGGGTCTGAGTAGAATTATGCGCAATTTCATTGTTTTAGATCTCGACTTGTGATTAGCTTATTTCAAAATTTGTCTCAAAATTTTGTCGGGGTGGCCTCGGTTCGTGTAGTCCCACTGTAATTATGAAATAAAATAGTGGCAAGTGAAAATAGAAAGCAACATATTCGAAAAAATAAAGAAAAAAACGAACAAACAAACTTGATTCCGTGCCCTTGAGCGGGACATGAACCCACGTCTCTCTCTGCTCAGTTAGCTAGTCAGGTATGCTTACTACTAAACACGCTAGTTACGCCACAGCGTAAAACCTACTAGTAACTACAGTCAAATGATACTAATACTAGCGTGATAAAATTAATTTTGATTACATTTATTCAAGGAATTCCAGCGGTCATTGTAGGCATTACAGCTGCCATAAAGCCCTCTACGTATGACACGGAAGCACCATTGAAGGAAGTCATATGTGGACCGTTTAACTTTACCGGGCGTCCTGAGAGAGAAAGGTAATCAGCCACGTTATATCTTTTCTTCAATTTTTCTCCGATAACCTCTCTCTCTCTCTATCGTTGTATAATTGTATATTTTATCGTAGATGTTGGCTCAGTGGAAGTACGTGGATCTACAAAGGGCCAGTCTTGTTTTTTCTGTTGGTAAGAATTGTAAATAACGTCATTTCTACGATAAATAAAGTCAATAAAGACTATAAACTTTTACTCGTTTAAAATACAGTACTGCATTTTATCATTAACTAAGTGGAACCCGCTTTACGGACACCCGCCTGATACCGACAGTTTTTCTTATCCCTGGAGAAAGCCCTCACATTTTCTCTAAATTGAACCAGATTAATTAGGCATTTCGCAGTTGTGTAGGCAACAGGGCCGAGTTTCAAATTTCAATTAATCGATAAACGGACACCATCATATAAAAGGTAATGTTGAGATTGGTCATTTGACCAAGTTTGGTGCTCTAAAGTTGAACAGGGATCAAGTTATGACTCCTGAAACATGGTTAAAGATCCATACAAACGTCTATAATTTTGTGACAGCGTCCCCAAAGCCATATAAACTCTTTTTCTTTTATTTAAGCTATAAAATTCGTCATGCATCTACTACTTGAAAGGAACTAATTCGAAAATCACTGTGTTTGCCCATTTGTAGGAATATCACAGAAATCGTAAAAAAAAATTAAGAGTTTATATGGTTTTGGGGGACGATGTCACACAATTACAGAGGTTTGTATGGCTCTTTGAGGAAAGTCAACCTCGCTAATGCAATAAGTGTGTGCTGTAACTAAACTTTTCTTTTGGAAAGTAAAAAATACCCCTTGGTGACAGCTTGCTGATGTTCCAACGCTAAAGTACACCGTATAGAATCGATTTTAGACGTCAATTTCAGACTACTTTGCTACTAAACGAGTTATGCAGAGAACGGTGATAGGACTTTCCTTTACAAATAGGCAAGCTTTCCAGTTTAAGAAAAATAGGACAACTGATCTGCACCAATCAAATGCCAGAAAATAAAATAGGTAATGCAAACTAGCCAATCAGCACAAAGTTCCTGTGACAACGCGCCAATAAAAGTCTCGTTAGCTGATAGCGGCTCGTAGGCGAACGCTCTTTGCTTCTTGTAGCTGTGAACGTCGTTTTGTTTTGATGCGGTTTTGTTTTGGCTTCTTGTCTGGGCCATTTAAAAAGGAAAATTTATGATCAAACTGATGAAAGTTTGTAATGGAAACATTCAACGATTCTTGAAAATGTACTGAAGCACTGAAACTTTGGACAACAATAAAAAACACTGATATAGTTGCGTTTAGATGTTAGCATTACAAAACAAGCGGACAAAGTCTGCGGAAATCGTTTGAGGTAATGAATGAAATGTTTATTTTCAATAGTTTTGGTGTTTTTGTTTCAACTACAAATGGACGGGTTCGAATGTACAGTATTTCGTGTCTGTGACACGCTAAAAAATCTGGATTAACTAACTAGCTATATAATTGATAGAAAAGAAGACTACATGCTTGTCCAATTTGAAAATAATTGAATGCAAAAAATTTCTCTGACAGCCAAATTGGACGAGGCCGTAGGCCGAGTCCTTTTTTGGCTGTCCTCGGAATTTTTTTCATCCAGTTATTTCCAAATTGGATAGCACGTACTCCTACTACATATACAAATGACATTAATAGGGACAGCCCGTTGAAACGAACACTTTCAATGGTCCCTCCGTATTAACCCAGGTTAGACTTTTTTTTTTGGTAAAAATATTCTTTTCTCTCTAACAGGTAAACATGGGGATGTTTCTGATACTTTTGCGAGTTATTTTTGGAAAGCTGTCCAATAAATACAACAAAGAGCACGTTAAGTTTGCAAGGTGCTAATCTCTGTTTATTACCTTATCAGTCTTTTTGAGGACTGTGAATGTGATTCCGCTTTTGCTAATCATCGTAGTAAGGTTGTGGGAAAAAAGAGTGTGCCTGGGAAAGTTAACAACAAATGCAACAACCACAACAACAAGCAAAAATGGCAACATGCAAAACTAGTTGATGAAATTGTTCCCTCTATCTTTTTATCTGGTACTTGAAAAAGCAGCAACCGTACACCCAAGTCTACACCCACAGAGTAATTTCGTTTCAACTGATTACCATACACTACACACTACAGTATAACAGCTTACAGCTTTATATTATAGTTACATGTATAATAATGAAATGCGAGCGAACATCATTAATTTGAAGAAATCACGTAAAGATTCACCTTTTAAAGATATGATTTAAAATTCCGTTACCCTGTTTATAAGGCAAGAGACCTATTTTCTTGACCCTGATTTATATCATTTCGCATACAAACTTAATCAATTTCTAAACTAACATAATTCCAAAAAAAAATGTTGGTATCACTCAATCGCCAACTTTGGCTTACCGAAAAAGGGACCCTACTCAAGAAGATAAATTATGAAATTGTATATTACTCTTGTTTAAGTCTCAAAAGCGTGAAAACCATATCCTGTTAAGGTGCACAAACCCTTAGGGAATACCCTAAGCTAAATCATGAACTGAATACCATTCAGGTCTTCTTTTACCTTTTCACAGGAAAGGATTGCGAAGCATGTTGGCCTTACTTCCACTGTTGGGTGTCACTTATATTTTGGGATATTTCCTTCAATTCCACATCGCCGTTCAGTACCTGTTTGTTTTGCTGAATTCCACGCAGGTTTGTTGTTTACACTAGAATAGATATTAATTAACCCGAAATGTCAGAAATCTGTAGCCAATAATCTAGCCATCTCGCCATCTTGGTATTACTTTCTATGTTAAAACAAAAAAAAAGGTCATTCAGCCTTTCAGAAAATGTGAGGTGCGATGGAAATTAATTTTTACTTTAATTTAGTCAAGAGCTGCTGTTACAGGAGACAACTCGAACTACAATCGGCGACAAAATTAGTTGAGAAATTTTGCCCTTAAGTGTCTCCCTGACGTTTTGCCGTCTTCAAAAGGGTAGAATGAAGCTTTCCCTCGCCATACCCCCATGCAATGTTGTGCCGCTATTTGCGCGATCTCTTGGAGAAAACAAACACCCCAGCTTTGGCAGGAGGAGAGGGTATAAAGATGGCGAGGGGGGGGGGGAGGAATTTTTTTCGTCCAAAGTTACCTCATTTGAGGACATTGTATCAGCAATTTTGTCGCTGATTGTAGGTAAAAAAATTTGAGCAACGGGCACCTACAACTAATGGTAATTAGTTATGGATTATCAAAGCAAACGTCTCTTTCGATTTACAAACATGCTTCTGATGAGTAACGAACTTATAATCGGATTAGAATCTTTTGTGGCTTTAATATTAATCTTAACCGTTTTTACGATCTTTCTTACTTACTATCCAATTACAGGTCCGCTTTTTTAAATGTTCCCATGTCGACGTACTACTCAGATCTTAATGGTAACCGGAATTTGATCAACGGATTCCGCATGCTTTTGTCAATTGAAATCACGGAAAATGCCGACATATGATTTTTTTTCTGTTCACAGGGAGTCACTTTTACCATTTTTCACTGCGTTTTTGACGATCAGGTATTTGGTTATAAAGCTCAGGGTAGCTTGTGCTACTGTTAATGATCATTACTGAAGAAAAAAGTAAAATTGCCTGAATCAGAGGACGCCTGCACTAATATATAGGTTTTGCAAGAGCTAAAAGCGAAGTCTCCGTTTATATAGTTATAACAAAAGAAATTTAATTTTGATCCACTAAAAAGAAATCTTGAAATCCCTTCTTAATAACTTTATGAGCCCTCCATTTACCCTTTGAGCGAGAGCCTGAGTGATAAAGAAAAAAATATCCCGCAAACACACCTGCAATGAAAAAACTCTCCCATCAAGCTAATGAATGTACCTCGAAGCAAGACTTTCCTCGTACAATTGAGATGACAACTTGCTGCCGTTAAAGAATGTTTTTAAACGTATACAACACAGTTTTTGAGAAGGATTCAACATGCGTTTTATAAACGACGGTGTTGGATGAAGTCAGTGGAGCCCTGGGAGTTAAACCTGTTCGATCCGCAATTGACCAGTTCCTAACAGATGGGAATAGGTGATTCTTTTCTATTATTCTCGTTTTCCTTCTCTAACTGTCTGTCGCCGTGACTTCAGATTACTGAAGGACTGAAGAGGCTCTGCGGAAAGAACACTGTACCACAAAAGCCAAGGAAAAATCCAAAGACTCCAAAGGAAACTAATAAAAAGAAAAGTAAAGGTAATTACAATATTTACATCAGAGCTACAGTTCAAATTCTTCAACTAACATGTTTTTTGTTCACGATCGAGCATTGTCAGCATTCCAAAGAGAAATATTATACCTGGGATGAATGTTCATAAGAAAGACCTATCTATTCTCCAGACCTGAACGACGATCAGGTCCGTATAACACCCTAGGGGTAAAGGGCACTTCAAAGAAGTCTAATGGTCTAAACCGTGGGTTACGCAAATGAGTGGACCATCAGATATGGGTTACCGTTGTTTCAGGTTTTCAGTTATAGTCTTCAATATATCCTGATGGCAATATTTTCTGTTAAACAATGAGATTAATTGTCGAATGAAAAATTACTTTGAAGTGATTTGTAAACAGGGGCTAAATTTTGTTTAAGTACTCCGCCCAAGTGATTTTTCTGATCCCTACTATCTATATCTGTAAATTGAATAGGTATCGTCAGCTTTAAATGTAAATAACTTTCATATTGTCTTATCAAAATTTTATCAGCTTTCTCTATTTATTTCATTCTATTTATATTTATTTTCATTTTATTTATATATTTGTAACAAAATGTGTATGAAAAGGGTTACAAATCTCCGTGAGCTTCATCTTTAGTTTGAAAACAATCTTTCGCAGCCTAGTCTTAAGGCGTTTTCATGCATTTTGATTTAATCTTTCCCCATCTTTTTTTTTTATTAACACTCAGATGTCGCACATCCAACCATAGTAAAGGTGGTAAAAATGAATGGAGCCAATCAGACAACGAAAGGGACGAACGTGTGATTAGAAACCGCCGTTTAAAGATTATCATTTACATTATTAGCTTGTGTAAAAGCGCTGACATTAACTATTTGTACGTAATATAACAAAGCCGGCAACTGCGAATGAAGAGGTACGTAATTGTCGAAGTGTTTGACATTACTTGTAAGCACGCGTTTTTTTAAAAGGGGAATAGCATCATCATCATTATAAAAGACCATGATATTAAGCTACCGCTCTTCTTGTCATGGTAAAGAACGACAAAGAACAAGAAGGCCTGTGTTAATTCATATAAAGCACTTTGTGGGGAGGTTGGTTTATTTAAGTAATTTTTGTCGAATTTATAATTAGAAAGGATGGTAAAACATTATGCTTTTGTCAGATGATTTTTCTAGATGATTGTATTCAGTAATGCCAAGTTACAGGAAGATGCATGAGGAATTATTAATACCAAACACTCCACTTATTATATTGTTGTCGCAGCTTACTGTTGCAGTTTCAGGCCTCAGTCTAATGTAGGGCTTTCCGTGAGACCTGAAGTAAACTCTTCATTTGAGTCGACCTAAATTAAGCTGAATCAGAACAAAAAGCAATCTTAATAAATTTTCTCTTTCACAAACGTAACTCACTAAGTTTGGTTCGTCTCATGAAATGGTCGACCACGTTAGTCCTAGGCCTAAGAAAGAAAGATTAACAGAATCGTAGTTGCTGAATAAAAAAGCCGCACATATAAAACGATGCATGCAGAATTGTACTGCCATTTACGAGCTTCTGAATAAAGGCACAAAACGAACAATGAATACGATTTTTTTTTAATACTACTTTATTGATAGGTTTAGTCCCAGGGCCCGTTTTAAAAGGATATGCTCAAGCTTTTACCGTCTATTGTCACCTTTTTGTGCGATCCAATGGCCCAACCCTGTGGTGCATGATCCTCTTTGATGTGAAGTAAATGAAATAATTCGTTTTTGAACTGCGGTTGTAGATGAAAGTGAAGAATGATCATCGCAGTAAATTTTCCAATTTAAGCAATTGGAAAGAAGAAGCCTGAAAAAAAAATCAGGGCTTCAACGGGATTCGAACCCGTGACCTCCGCGTTGCCGGTGCGTTGCTCTACCAACTGAGCTATGAAGCCACACATTGGTAGAGCAACGCACCGGCAACGCGGAGGTCACGGGTTCGAATCCCGTTGAAGCCCTGATTTTTTTTCAGGCTTCTTCTTTCCAATTGCTTAAATTGGAAAATTTATTGCGATGATCATTCTTCACTTTCATGATCCTCTTTGGCGGGAATTCTTATGGCCAACCAAAGTACTTTGGGGGGAAATCTCATTTTCCACGAGAATGTGACATGAAATCATTGCCTAACGCACTTGGCGATAGAATTCGCGTAAATACTGTCTTGAAGTATTTAAAGCTATGCAAAGACGAAAAACCTAGGAATAACTGTTCCATTGCCAAATATATTCGGGGTTGTAGTTACTTACCTAAAATTTTCGGACGTTGTGTTTTCCACATTTTATTACCAAGATAATCTTCTTTATTGTTATTAAAAAGTCTCCAGGAAATTTCGGTATGGAGAAAAATCTCCCCTAAATCTTCCAATGGAAGCATAGCTATTGCATGTCCTCAAACCTTTTGACTGGACCCATCAGGGTAGCTTAAGCCACCTAAATTTTTGAGACCGCCAAATTTCTCCTAAGATGACTAGAATATCCGTTTTATGGGCAGCTCCAAATTAACCACTAAACAGGGATCTAAAGCATAGAGAACCAGTTGAGATGTTTCTCACGGATTTGGGAGCATTTGGACGTTGGGTGTGGCTGAACTATATGCACCCATGACTTAAAACAAAGATTATTGTTATTCATCGTAGTGGATAACATGTTCATAAGTAGTGTTGTTTATTTTTTCTAATTTAGATCGCGAAGTTTCGACCGCTTAAGAGTACATCCACGAAAGGACCAGGCAGGGGCGGCACAAGCCATCTAACCGATTTCGATGAAACTTGGCCAGTTTGAAGGGGTCTGCCCAAAACTGCTTCAAGCTAAGTTTAAGGAAGTTTGGTCGAAACCGGGGGGAGTTGACCACCTCCCTTGTTTTTTTTAAAAAAATGACCAAAAAGCACCTAAAAAATTGGTCAAAAGTATAAAGCTCTACTGCTAAAAGAATTCCACCAAACCTTTTCATATTTTCAGTGAATGTTATCCTACCCAAAGACAATTTATTGTCACTGTTTCGTTCTTCTACGACAAGTTCCTATGACACAAGTCATCTCAGCCAAGACCCCCCCTCTCACCCAATAGTGAAAATTGTTGAAATATCCTAAGTTTAGGCCAAAACATCTCCAATGCCGGAGCATGCTTCCAAAAACGGAGCATACCGTCTAGAAGGCGGGACTTCATACTAACATTATCTGCAAAAAAATCTTTGGGCACTCATTTAATTATTCCACAGGAAGACTGCAAACACGTTGTCCACCAGAGGGTACCTTGGTCAATATTTTCCATTATAACGCGCTACTTCGGTAATTATGGCACAGCAACAGACAAATAATGCCACAAAATGGTTGCAAACCATACACTTTGATGAAATAGAACCATTTCTATCTAACAGCTTAAATTAAAAAAAACTTGGCCCACCACAGGATACCCACTTCAGTTTTTTTTTTCATCATAACTCGCTAATTCGGTAATAAAGACATAGCAACAGGTAGAAAATGCAGCAAAATGGTTACACACTATACAATTTAATGAAATTGAACCATTTCAAAAGCTTTTGTTTGTCTTAAGCCATGAAAATGACAATCGACGGCTTAATGATGACCTCTATTATTGTATAAGTGAACTTCGTGACGGAACTTACTCATCGCTAAGTGAAACACGAGAGTCACAGAACTCTATCAAAATGCTTACATTGTCTGTATTTGAACGTTAGAATGATCGTATAATGAAAAAGACTTTTGTTCATTTAATAAAGGAATAATACATTTGCTTCAAACTTGCACGCCACATTGCATCTTGATGCAGAAAACTTTATCAGAAAGACCTTGCTATACTGAAAACAAAATCAACTGCGTGTTTTTGTGACTTGTGCCCTAAAGAACTGTCCTTTGTAAGAACTATCAAAGACAAAAGTCAAAATAGATATAATCAAACAGACAAACACTCTCATCGAAAGTAAAGTTACAGTTGTAGCTCCCTCCTGATTTGAAGCCGTGTTCTGATAAGGGGAGCTTCAGCCTCATATGGGTCTTTCTCCTCATCTTCGCTTTCTCCTCCCTCGGGTACCGGTTCTGTTGGCGCTGGCCTCACCTCCTCTCTTCTATGAAGACCCCTACTCCTGTTTAATGCGGCCATTCTTCTGAAATATCCGGAGATCTGGGTAGATGTCAGCCACTCGTCTTTGGTAAATACCTTCGTTCCCTCAGCGGTTCGCACGGACCTCATTCGTGCTTCTACATCCTCAGCCGCTGCTTTATTCCCGGTGTCCTCTCCTTGAAGGAAGACTTCACGCAAAAATTGGCGCACTTTAGTGGTGAAATGAACAGACTTCTTGGTCTTTTTTAATGTCCAGCCCAAGTCAGCTGTTGGCAGTGGGTCTTCCGACTGGCTATGGGAAACTGAGGCGGATGCAGATGTGGGCGGCTGAGCTGCTTCCACGTAGCTACCAGAAATTGACTTGCAGGTCTCTGTCCACTTTTTCTTTATCACGTCGTACGTGGACTCTCTCTCTAACGCGAGAAGGTGTTTCCCGGCATCGAGGTGACGCTGAAGGCTGCTGTGACTTTGGTAAACTTTTATGCAACCCTCCTCTGGGCAGCCAAAGGCCACACGCTCTTCTTCTTCAGGCTGAATCCGTTCTACGGCTATAGGGTCCATTGGAGGTGTATGCCACTCAGCGAGTGCTTGGTCATGTTTTGGGACCAGTTTTTCGTCAACCTTGCACACCACTGAGTAGCAGCCTTTGACGCCCCCATGAGAATCAATAGCAGCTTTCATGTCACTTGCTGTCTTGACGTCATTGCCTTCATTAATGTAGCGCCTAATGTGGCTCTTCAAGGCGGCGGCTCGGCGGTCAAATATGTCTTTCCCAGCTTGGGCCTCACTGAAGTCATAACGAGCTATGCGGACACCAATTCGCTATTCAAGGCTTGGAAGACTGAGAAGAAGAAATGGGCAGTGATAACAGCCTGCGTTGTCAGATGTTAGGAAAGCTTCATTCAGTCTAGGTTTCTGTCGCTTCATGGTGGTTAGTGAATCTTCGATGATGGAGGCAACGCTGAACCAGTTTTGACTGCATTCATCAAATAAGTGGATATATGTACGTGTCTGAAAATCATAATAGTAAAGCATTTTTTACCATGAATAGTGCGCCAAGGGACCTGGTCACAGTCAAGGGCTACTGGAGTATTAACCTGCGCATTTTTACTTGAAACAGAGATAACACCCGGCAAGGTCTGCTTTTTTCGAGAATGTTTATGGCCTTTTATTTGGATTAAAAATGTACTCCGTCCCATGCACTTTTGCGCGCGCCTACGTGCGTCGCCAACGTTTTATCTTTATATAAGTGCCGAAAGCAATGAAATGTTGAAATTCACTATTAGGAATTTAAGCTTTCGCGTCTTTTCTCGGCCTGGCATCCTTATCAGTTATCCAATTTTGCAATCGGTTAGCGCAACAAAGACCGCGCTCACGAGAAACTAGTTTATACTGGTCAGTGAGCGATAAAGACAGAAGAGTAGGCACATGATTTCTACCTCAATTGTTCCACCTTCTGCTTTAGTGATGGCCAACAAGAGATGCCAGGACTTCCCCTTCTTTCCAAACCAGTCGCGCTGCGTTTCGCGAAAGCTGGTGGGAATAAACTTCATCGCCCATCACTACTACTACACCACTACTACAACTACAATTAACCCTGATCAAAATTCGTCCTTTACGAACGTTTTATAATCCGTACCTTGATTATATTGAAGAGCGTGGAGCGTCCGAGAGGCTCAAAATTGGATTCTACACAAACGTTCAGGTACATGCGCACTAGGTGGGAGGATATAACTGTGCGCACCATGTTCGGGATCTCTAAGCTCTCTCCACTCTCCAGTTTAAGAGTTCTGGTGCCATATGCCACATCTTGAAGAACTGATGGACTGGACAAGAATTCAAGAAAGTGGTCAACTTTCACAGCATCCAAACGGCATCTGGTGATCCTTGGTGGGTCAATGGGTTGCCCGGGCTTAGTTTGGAAAGCGTGCTTCCTTGCCTCGTCGATTCTCCATTTTGAGAGAGCAACAGGATCTGCTGTCTCGTGTACCAATTGGCGGCTTCCTCATACAGAATCACCAGTCTGGCAACCAGCGTGTCTTCGACTATACCCTCGGCCGCTTGTAAACGAATCCGCCGTTGCATGACTTGGTGGTAGAGCCAGGAGGCGTTGCCAGGGGCAATGGATTGAAGCACGCCTTCGATAGCCTGCTCCGCTTTTTTCCGGTAGTAGCGCAGGGTTCTGGATGACATAGTAAGAACGTCACATTGGCACTGTGACCTCCCCGGGCTGACCCTGTCTTCAGTAGCCATTCTGAGGAAATTATTAAGGTAGTAAAGGCGGTGCCGTTTTTGAGGGGTGGGCTGCCATTCTGCCGACGTCTTTGCTGCGCCAAGAGACTCCTGGGATCCAGACGACGTCCGCGACAAAGCGTCTGAATGGCGGTCGCTGGGGTCTGAGTCGCGATCGCTATGCTGGAAGAGAAAAAAGCTGTATCTAGGAAATATCTAATTATTCCATCAGTTTGGCATTATTATTACCGTATAGTCAGCGTGCACAAGTTTTACATTAAAGAATTCCTGTTAGCCGGTATGCTTTGCGCCCGTTGGCTTGGTTTGAACGCTATATGAATCTGCTCAAACCTCTCTAAGATTAATAACAGGAGTAGAATGAGCTTTGAATAGTAATTGTTACGAGTTATTGATGATTATATTTTATTAAATTTCGCGCTTTATGCTTCAAATGAAGTTCCATAAATAAGAGTGAGCAACATTCGAAACCACGACCGCAAAGCATACTCGAAGACAGGCATTCTTTGAAAGGAGAAAATTTTATGACTCAACCATATAGTGACTCTCAGTATAACAACCAATTTTAACGAATTATTCCGATTTTATTCAGTCTATGCAAATTAGTGTGAGAACCAACATTATGCCCAATACATCAAGCAACAACGACCCCTCTCCCTCCTTTCCTGATTTGTTCTAAAGATCAGTGGTCTATGACAACGATTACAAAGCAAGTGACGCAAACGTCCCGCCCCTTTGAAATCAGTAAACTCATTCACACACTGCCGAAGAAGAGCTTACCTCACTAATGAGATCTTCTTGGAATCTTACGTGAAGGACAGGGGTAGCAGACAATTGTTCTGATTCTTCTGTAGCAGGCGGTAGTAACTGTGGTGGCTCTACTATTTCCTCTGCGGACTCCGTAGAACATGAAGGTTCGTGAATCTGAGGCTCTCGGTGAGACGTGGACGCTAGTCCAGGATCTTGTACTTCGGAATCTGCGTCAGTAGAACCTACAGTTCTTAGATGGTCACCACGGCATTGTCTACAAACCCCTGCGTACAAGAATAAACCTAAAATGAGTTTTGGTAGCATTATGGTTTGTTAGTTCGTGGTAACAGGCTGGATAGAACAAACTGTTTGGAACTTTTCCCAAGCAATAAACGGCTTGCCTGCATCCGTTTAGGCATTCTAATATTTCCTAGAGGGAGGGATTTAACCAAGCTAGATTCTAAATAGGTTTGTGTCGCCATTCCTAGTCAAAAGAGGGCCCTAGGCCTGTTGGAAGTATTAGTGATTAGTGCTGTAGAAAATGCTAGAAGTCCGCGCGATGTGGTGGGCCAGCGTAAGCCATCAGTAAATGTATAATTAGCGGCACTTTCAGTGCGGATTTAAAACAAAAATCTGATAATTTTTCAGTGAGGCGCTTATTTTCACGCCCCGTTGTAGAACACTCATTCTTAATTGACACCGGGCTCTATATTAAAAGGCCTGGCCCTGAGGTTTCGCAAAAAAAAATCTGTATAATCACTGTAGCTTTTGAGAGAATTGCCCTATCCCCCGCCCCTCCTGGGGAAAAATGACCGATTAGAAGCAGGAACCTATAACTATGGGCTACCGTTAGAACGAAACTAGCTAAGATACAAAAAGGAAAACAACGGAAGGGCAAATTGACCTGGTAAATTTAAAAATAGATTAAAACTCTTGTAGATCAAAATTCACCACACAATCCTTATTTGTTTGTTTGTTTGTTATTCTTTTGCGAAATAAATATCATACCCTATAACTCATAATTAATTTCTTACAAGATCTTCCATCCTTCCCCCCACCCCCGCCAAAAAAAAAGAAAGTAAAAAAAACTCCTTTCCCACTTGTGAAAATATTAATAAAACAATTGACTAAACTTGTGTATTAGTCAATCATTTGCCCCATTTCCGGATTCCGGAATTCTAGAAAATTTTGCTAGTGGAATCCGGAATCCCACTAATGATTGAAAAAGAACCCAAGTTCCACTGACAAATACTGGAATACAGTGATTGGAACCCTGTCTTGATTCCCTTACATGAGGCTAAATCATCAAGAAACCAAAGCATGTATAAGTACCGTATTTACCTTCAGTGATCACGCTTACCTGAGCCTACGGGAACCAAAACGTCCCACGTTTCCTTTATCGCTTTCGACATTTTCAAGTTCACCCCTCTGGATACTTTACCCTTACGGCGACCATGAAGCGGACGCTGGCATTTTCTTGAAGGACAATACTTTGCTCCAAGTAAAACGCGATGCTTTGGGAAAATAACCATATCCTTACCCTCCTCGTCAAACAAACCGACACGAGCAAGTATCAGCTCTCTCTCAGAGGCTACACATGATTGTGTTGTTTGCAATTCTCTCAAGTGCGCCTTTACATCACTGACGCAAGAATTCAAAGGAAAAAACTGTGTACGATCGGGGTATCTACTTGATACGTCACACTCACTGGTACAGTGCACGGAAAAAGAGCACGAAAACTGCGACATCGTTTTTAACGAGAGACCTTTTCACCTCTACATCCTATACCTCTAACCGATCGGCGCATGTGAGGAACACTTTGAAATATCCATGCGCGTGCACGCTTTTTCCAATCAACGGTCTATTTATAGAAAGCGTGTGAATCTCAACACTGGGCTGTTAGGTCTATTACATATCCTAAGCCCGAATTCAACATTTACGATCGCCAAACCTTTATACATGTAAAAACTCCGTTTTTAAAGAAGAAAACAAAACAACTCAATTCGTTGGCGTCAATTTGTATTTTTAAAGCGAACGTTTGTTCTGTTTGTAGTTATTATGGAAAATCGAATCAAGCTATCAAATTACAAAGATGTATGCGCTTGCCAGGAAGTAATTTCCAGGGATTAGAAAAAAAGAAGCGTTTGGCTGTAAACAGCCAAACGCTTTTTCTCCTTTTTTCTCCTTTTCAGGCGTATTAGGCAACCGACTTGAGTCACAAGCAAATCAATTTATTTTCAGAAAAGGGAATTCTTTTGGATAACGTTTCTGTATCAAGATGCAATGTGGCGTGCAAGTTTCAAGCAATTGTACTATTCCTTTACCAGACGAACAAAAGCAAATTTTATTATACAATCATTCTAAAGTTCAAATACAGACAATGTAAGCATTTTGATAGTGTTCTGTGACTCAGATGTTTGACTTAGCGAAGAGTAAATTTCGTCACGAAGTTCACTTATACAATAATAGAGGTGATCATAAGGCCGCCGATTCTTATTTTCATGGCTTAGAACAAACTAAAGCTTTTGAATTGGTTCAATTTCATTAACGTTTATAGTGTG